GATTATGTAGCACCAAACTTTCAAATGAATAAATCTTTCTGGTTTAGAAAATCGGCATTTGATTTTTTTTTTTTTTTTTTTTTATCTGGGTCCGACTTTCGCTTCCGGTGAGAAAATAGAAACATTTTCTTTGACGCCTTGTTTTCAATCCATTTCTATCCTTCCTCCCTGCCATTTTTATTTTCTGAAGGCTTTCCTAATCATCTGTTACCTCTCTTTATTCATTTATCGATTTTCTTTCTCCTTTTCCCTTCCTCACCCCATTTGCTGTCACCTTATTCTCACCTTCCTACTTTTCTTTCTTTTCTTTTTCTTTTTTATTCATTTATTCTTTCTCTAACCGCTCGATTTAATGCCCTTTCCTTTTTCCGTCTCTCATTCGTCGGCGCCTTCTTACCATGTCATTAAAGATATTTATAAAATTGATGCAACAGCTTTGAGTCTTTTTTTTTTCCCCTATCCTCTTCTGTCGACCTGACCCCATGACCTTGGGAATATACGTGCCATGATGTCAGAAAACTAAAGCTGCTTGTACACATAACGGGAGGTGCGGCAGATGACGAACAAAAGGCTTTCTGAATTGGGGTCTGGAGCACTCTTGTCCACCGGAATATAAATCTTCAGACTAAAACGACAGCAAGAAATAAAATAAAATAAATCAACATGAGTACATCCACAGCCCCTATACGCCGGTCTCTAAGGGACCCCGGCCTTTCCCACATTTTATTGCAACTGAAAACAGTTAAACAGTACAAGGTGGGCTAATGGATAGCGAATCGGATTGAGGAATCGGAGAGCCGAGTTTGAGTCGAATCCATTGTATTCACTTATGTACTAATACCCTTGGGAAAGGTATGAATCCCGTTCTGCTCCCTCCAGATGTGGGTAAATAGCAGAACAGGTCGGGTTCTATAGCCTTGGATGGCAACTAGTCTACCGCAGAAAGAAATTGCATCCTATTGCGAGAACAAAATCTGCCTCGTCAGTCATGAATCGAAAGATACATGATCGACTAAGAGTGTATCATGCATGGCACATAACTGGATTTTGCCTTCTTGGTCCAAATCCATAACAGTGTTCTTCTTTCTCTATTTGCTGTGACCCTTCAGAACTTTGGCGATCATGGCTCGCCACAGTTTCCTGTCGTTATAATAAATCTCTTAATAAATTGTACGTAAATAAAAATAAAACTATTTTTTCTTTATTGTTACAAACATAGAGGTTTTACAATATCGTAGATTTGTCCAAACATTCTTCATGAAATTCGGCCATGTAGGAATAAAAGCCATCGGCATTCATGGAAAAAAAAACCTTCAGAAGATGAGTATTGTTGATCTTTAATTACATTGATATTTCATGAAGTTTCAGGGTCAGCAAAAATTTTTGATTTCGAAGATCTGAAATCCTCTTTTATTTGGGTCTAAGGTGGCAAATATCTAACAGACAGTGAGTTAACTCTAATTTAATCTTATTTATTTTTTTTTACTAATATTCAGGTAGTACAAGACACAAGAGCCACTCAAGGTAGATGGTTAATGTATGGAGTTATATTAGCGTAGGAAAGGACAAGCGTTAGGCATATAGAGCGGATATAGATTTTTAGGAGTAACCGGAAACCAAGCCCAAAAAGTAAACAAGAGATAGACTTCTACTGTTCAAAAGAGCGGGGAGGAGTGTGAACGGGGCGTTAGGCGAACCTGTCTATTCTTATTGGTGGAGGAGAGAACAAACAAAATGACATTCCAACCACCTGAAGAAGGACGGAGCGTACAACGGCCGAAACGTTGTGATAGATATGGCGAAAAAGATGAGGACAATAGTCCGAATAATGTAAATAATGTACATAATACCTCATCTCAGAAATATAGACAGACCCAAGATGAAATAAATAGTTCGTGAATAAGATTTCAGAATACAGGGGCAGACGTTAAGAGTATACAATTGAAACAGACTTGAGAAAGAACCAGAAACTCAATTCTGGACAGGAAACAAGGGATAAGCCATTACTCTACACTTATTCAAAAGACCAAGGATAGTCTTAACAGTTTTTTTTTTTATTTTTATCTGTTCTAAACCGCGTTCTGCCATCCATTTACTCAAGCTCGCTAGCTAGGTTATGCGATGTTTTCCTTTGTCCCGCTTGCCTTTAATCTCTTCTGTGTGTGTCAATTTTTCCAAGCCTTCTTTTCTCATTATGTGCCCTATAAATTTGAAATGTCCCTTTTTGGTGTTAAGTACGTGTCCATTTTTATTTCCATTTTCTTTAAAACTTCAACTCACGTTTGGTCAATGGTATTCTCAGCATCCTTCTGCAAAGTATTTCCCATTTAAGCATTAATATCATATATATATATATATATATATATATATATATATATATGTGTGTGTGTGTGTGTGTGTGTGTGTGTGTGTGTGTGTGTGTGTGTGTGTGTGAAAATATATAGAAAATAGGAAAGAACTGGTTAGGTAAATAATCCAAAGTTCCTTAGTATTTTAGTGTTTATTTTTAAAAAATAGTGCTCGATACAAACGTAGAGCATAAATATAATTATTTATTTAAAAATATGATTCCAACTCGCGACATTATAAAAATCTATATCCTCTCTATACTCATATATATATATATATATGTGTGTGTGTGTGTGCGCGCGCACGTGTGTGTGTGCGCGCGCACGTGTGTGTGTGTAATATTTATCATTTAAGCATTAATATCAATTATATATGTAAAAAGCGAAATGCTACTTCCCTACCAAAAGAAAAAAAAAATGATAAGAGACTAGCACACCCCCAAATTAAAATCGGTTCCATGTCTACAAATTGCAACAATTCGCCACAAAAACGGCAACTATCAAAGGAAAAGAAGTAAGAAGAAAAATGATCACGACTCCCTACACGCACGCATATCCGCGCAGACGGGCGCACGCGCGCGAACTACACATCCGCAGAAACGGCGCACAAACGCACACACAAACACAAAAACATACAGAAAAACTTATACCAATTATAAACGTATAAAAAGGAAAAAATTGAAAAAAAAAAGCAGTAAATTGCTGATACGCTCTGAGGGTTCCCAAAAACTCTGGAGTTGTGATGCTTAAGGTAACATCAATCAAATAGATAGATAGATAGATAGATAGATAGATAGATAGATAGATTACAATTAGATAGATGGATGAGAACAGA